ATTAGTAGTAGTTGTTGTTGTATTAATATAAATGATAACGGTTGAAATAAGTATATATCTAGCAACATGTAAAGAAAAGAAAAGGAAAACCAGTACCAAAATAATGGCACAATTGAACAACCCACTCATGAGTTTGTATCTTGTCTTTTCGTTTGTCCTTTTGTGTCGAAGCAACAACCTTCTCGAGCAGTTGGTCTGGCGCGATGAGTCGATGGGAAACGAGATGCTCACGCTGCTTACGGACCAGGAGGACGTCGAGAACGTGTCCACAATGCTTGGAAGTGAGTGGAAGCGGACTTTGGCGCTTGAGCAAGACTAGTTGGAGTGAGATTGAAAGTAAAAATTAAAAAGGTTGTGGTACGACTTTCCATTTCGAGGCGAAAATGGATTGAAAGGAGAAGCAGAGTGCGAATGAGTCTTCAGTCTTCGTCTGACAGACGACAGGACGGTGAGACAAGGACGTCTTGATACGATCCAACTATCTTCACTTCGAAATAGAAAGTCATCTCACCATAAATCACACAAAACCTATTTGACCAAATCATTCCACTGTTGGGCTCTCTTCCACTTCGCGTTTGTTGGAGAGAGATTGAAATGTCGTCATTGTCTTGTTTTACTGAACGTCAAAGTAAGTAAACCATCGAAATAAACCGAATAGGCAATACATTGAATGTAAGGAATACCGAAATGGGGTGAATATATTTCATATAACTTATTCATTTATAAACAAAAAATAATTAATTAAAGAGAGGCTGTTGAGCCGTCTGCGCAAGAAAGACGAACCAACTGGTCTTTTCTTTTTTCGTGAGTGAGAAGGTTTTCGAGACTACCAAACAAAATGAGAAAAATGAGCAGCTGTGTTCACGCAATTTCCCACAATCCATTGAATTTCATACAGCCTTGCTTTCCTCAAAAGTGCTCTCGTCCCGGCTGGAGCGGACTGCACTTTCGCCCTCGAATGTGCCCAGTCAACACCTCCAGCGGGACTCGAACCGCGCCGATGCGGCGTGCGAGCGGGACACGTGTCGCGATTAGAGTCCCGCCGGCGCTGGCGATGAGTCCGATTGGGGCGTGGGCAAGATTGCAGTCCATTTGAGCCGGAATGAGAGCACTTTGTGTGAAAGCAAGGATATGTGAAATTGAACGGAGAACGTCGGCTCTATTCATATGATTGGCTTGGTTGTAGTCACGATCACTTTCTGTACATTTGACCCACTCTTTCCCTCTCAGATGAGGACACAAAGCTCATCAACATGACCAAAGGTCACTTTTTTGTTCCGACCACTTTTGAGCCACCTCTGCTGGCTTTGTGCACATTCAACACACATGCACATGCACAAAAGTGTGCACACTCACATACTTCGAGGTTGACGTATGACAGTAACTAACCAAATTGCTTTATACTTCATCAAAGAGCTACGATTTGAGGCAAACATACAAGATTTAGTGATAATTTCTTGACCGTCATGAGTACGTTTTTTCCTCAATCGAAGCAGATGGTCTTTACGAAACAACGTCAGCAAGAATGTTCCAGTAAAGCCAATCGAGTCTCGTCAAGTGGAATCCGCCGGTGGGTTCGAGCTTCGGACCTCTTCACCGCACACTTTCACTCGAAGGGAAAGTGAGCTCAGGAATTATGAAACAAGAGGTTGCTCCAATCCCAAATTTTCTTTTCACATCATTCTAGATCTGGCGATACTCGTCCATCTACTTTCAATTGTTTATCAGTTGTTAATGTGAGTTATTATTTAGCAATTAAGAAAGAGCCTAGCAGCTGTGTTGATCTTATTTTCGCAACTTGGTCTTGTTGGTAGGAAGACTTTGAACCTAATCAAAGCCAGCAGTACCACAACATTTGTAGGTTGGCACACAAGAGACTAGGGCATGGTATTACGGATAGAAACAGGATAGACGCGGCGGCGATGGGAGCTAGTTGGCTGACAGTTTGTTTTTACAAAAGACGTGGTACATGCAGCAAAGTCATGGCCATGAGACTTACTTTGAGGCTATGGCCTCGAATTAGTCACCCAGACGCAGGGGTGTGTTTATTACGTCTCGAATAGTACAGATGGGGGGGGG